ATCAAGCAGACCTGGGTCCTCTTGGTGTGTATTGGGGCTACCTCAGGCATCGGGCGCCTTGTGTCAGGCCGTGTCAGTGACTCCATTCCTGGACTTAAGAAGATCTATTTGCAGGTGAGTATGCCCACCCTGTCCACTGCACGGAGAAACAGCCTACCGCAGACGCTGGGTTATCCCCACCCTTTGGGATAGGGTGGTGGGGTGTGTCACTGCTGTGCCCCGGGCCCTAGGTCTGACACCAGCTTGTTGTACAACGTGGGAAAGTCGATAAAATTCTTTGAGCCCCGGTGACCCTTGCTTTCAAATGAAGACAATCATCCTTGTTCTGCCTCTTTCATCAAGATGGAGTGAGGATCCAGTGAGGACGGCATAAATGGAACCTCTGAGAACATTCTTAAAGAAAGTTTTTATTAATAATGGCTCTCCCATCTGAAAGAGGAAAAGGAATTGCCAGGAGTTGGGTGCTGCCCCCAGTGGGGACTGATCTCATTGGAGAGTCTTGGGGATCTGTAGCACCGCATGGCTCAGTGTCTCTCTCCTCTAGTCCCGGGCCTGGGTCCATCACCTCTTATACATCCAGAGCTACTTGGTACTGAGCACTGCTGTCAAACGTCATCGTCTGGATGTACACAAAGTGCCGGAATAAGTCAAATCATTTCCCTTCCCTAGGCCTCACTCTTCTCATTTGCGCAATGAGAATAATTCTTGCTTTTATTATCTCACCTCACAGGTGAGGATTGAAAGAAATGTAGCTGCGGCCAGATTTTAGGAAGTTAAAAAAAAAGAACTATGTTAAAGCCATGCAAGGTTTTAATCCTTCTGACGGTGACACAGGCAGCCTCATGTTGTGGGCAGTAGCGGCATGGATGCTAAAGAGAGCACTTTCCGTATGAACTGGCTTCCGGTCTGGCTTGAATACAGACTGCTGCTCAAGCTGTCTGTCTTTATCTACCTGGCAGCAATATTGCCTTTCTGGCCTGACTTGTGCTTTTTTGCTCCTGTAGCTGGGTTTACCAGAAGGCACCCAAATGTGGAACCCTATGGAGGGGTCACAGCAGTCCCAGAGAACAGGTGGTCACAAATAATCCATCAGGAAGGTGGTTGAATTCTCACTTTCCTGGGCGAAGCCCTAAAATCACTTCCAAGGAGCCCTAACTACACTCACAGCGGGGATTTCTCTAACAGTCCTAAATCCCCCCGGATGTCTTGGACGAGGATATGATTAAAATTTCCTGTTGTGCTCAACTCTATCAGGTTTGCAAGACCTGGCGACTGCGCTTTGTCAGAGCTAGGGGTGCCCTTACGGTTCGTTCTGTCTAACGTCTCGTTATCTGATGGATAAACAGGAAACGAAACAGTGGCAGAGCTGAACTCCTACGTAACGCTCTCCTCATAGTCTGCTTTACCCTAAGCGATGGAAGGCAGAGCCAAGGCCCAGAGATGATAAGTGTCTTGACCAGAGTCAAAGCAAAAGCCTATACGTGATATCAACAAATTATGAAATTATGAATTCCTGTGCAAATATAAGCAATTGCTCTATCTGGGTGGAATTTTACATGGGAGTATTGTGGCTTTCGCAGCCTCTTCCATATGTCACCCCTGTGGGTCTTTCCTGTCGGTATCAGCAGCACCAAGATGCCAAAAGGGACCGGCAATCAGGGTAAGCGAGCACTGGGCCAGGGCTGTATTTTGAGGAGAGGCGGCAGCCCCTGCCTCGCCATATAGCTCACCTGTCAGCACAGCACCCAGGAGAGTGCTGCGGTCCGAGCAGCTTTGGCCTTATATCGTGCAGAGGTTGCTGCAAGGAGGCAGACACGTTAGCTAATCAGAAGCGGGACTAGGTTTAGGGACCAGTACTTCTGCGGACTGCTTCGCCTACCCGCCCGCCATTCTGTCTCTTTTCACTCTTACTTGACCCAGTTTTACCACTTAAAATAATATAAATCAACCTCAGAACATTATAGCCGAAAGGTATCTTCATCGACTTGTAGTTCGACTTCTTCATTTTACAGATTGAGGAACTGAGGGCCAGAGAGGTAGAGTGAGTTGTCCAAACTCATCCCGCTGTAAGTACCTCAGGCTGCGAGCACGAGACAATGGATGAACTTCCTTGGCTCCCTTCCTTCCCGGGTACAGGCCTGGAAGAGGAAATGAGTGTGTCCATAGCTTCGGGTTCTAAAGCGCCATCCACTAGGCCCCGCGCTTCCTACTATTGAAGAAGACAGGCACGTGTGCCTGGTGTCAAGCCTCTGTTGGAAAGGAAATGGTGACAACCTGCAGGACAGCCTCGGTTTGGGCCAATTCTTAGTTCAAGTAGAGATTTTTAATTTCTAAACCTTGGCAAGGTCCCATGGAGGATGTTGAGAGGCAGCTACATACAATAGGTAGTAATTAAGGCTGATTAAAATCAATTCCTGGTGTCCTTTGTGTTATATAATAGCATTAACTCTTAATTGCCATCCATTATGGCCTGGCTGTTGCTAGGTATGTCTGGTTTTATGTTACAGCCTCTGCGAATCTCCTAGAGAAGCAGCTGGGTATCTGGGTTCTTATTCCTAGAGTCCGCCCGACTCTCTCCAAACAGCCAGAGCAAAGGGCAAACGTCCTCAACAAGGACATTTCTTCAGATGGCACAGCCAGCACATTTCTTTTATCCTCTCTAAAAACCAACTGAACGACCTAACAAACCTACTGCCAGCAAGAACAGACTCGCAGTTAAATAGGAGCGCTCTCAAATACTTTGAATCCTTTAATGTAGGACTCAGAAGGGGCTCTTTAGCCCAACTGTCCTCTCTGTGGACATCCTACTGCCCCATTTTATGAATGGTAGGAATGAGACCCTAAAAAAGGCGGGGTGATTTGCTATGTGGTCTTGACTGAAAAGCATAACGTGACCAACTCAAGCCCTTGCTCCTCTAGGTCATCTCCTTCCTGCTCTTGGGCCTGATGTGCATGATGATTCCCCTGTGCCGGGGCTTCGGGGGCCTCATCGTTGTCTGCCTCTTCCTGGGCCTGTGCGATGGCTTCTTCATCACCATCATGGCCCCCATTGCATTTGAACTGGTGGGCCCAATGCAAGCCTCGCAGGCCATTGGCTACCTCCTGGGCATGATGGCCCTGCCGATGATTGCTGGGCCCCCCATTGCAGGTGAGGCTGACGTTACAGGGAAGATGTGAGTGGGGGAGTCCTGTCTTTCCCAGGCTCTGGGGCTCCTGAGCACCTCCTTTTCCTCGCATTCTCTGTTTAAGCGACCTTGCCAGAGTATGCGCAACCCCTTACCACTATTGGTGAGAGACTAAGCACAGTGTATGCACCTGGATTCATTTTGGGGAATGGGCTTTTCACGGTTTACGTATCTGTTTCAGTGGAGTTTTACCGTAGACAGCATGGCTGATTCCGAGAGGGTAGACACAATGTTCCCTGGAAAATCAATGCAAAGGGAACTTCATCTCCTTTCTTTAGGATTCATTGCAAATATTATTTCATGGGCTGCCCTCTCCTAGGCTGGCCGACTGAGCTAACTCAACAAATGGTCCTCGAACACTGATTCTGTGCCAGCTGTTATGAGATCACTGACCATGCTCTGTGACAGTGGCAAAAGCTGCCACTCGGGCCCTTGTGCCACAGCCACACTGCCCACCAGGGGAGGGTAGCCTCTGCTCAGCCCCTGATCCCAAAGGTAGATCCCAGAATCACATCTCTTTCCAGTTTGCTTACCTCCCAAGCAGCCCGAGAGCCTACTTGCCTTTCCTCAGTACTGTTTCTGGGCCCATTCTTCCTACGAGGTGGCCCCCATTAGCTCCTGGAGGTGAGCAGGGGAGGCCTCGCATTCCACGCCTAGCACATCCGTGGTCTTTGCGACTTTGAGGAACCTAGAGGGGCCGATCGTATCTGTAACCACAGCGGAGGGTGCACATACAGCCTCTTCTTAGGACAAATGGGAACTTCAGAAAAAGGGCGAAAGGAACCTGCCCAGATTGTTCTACAGGAATACTCCAGCCCACGTTAGGGGTAGAAGGGTATCTCGCTGGAAACCAAGACAAGCCTCGGCCATCTTCTGGCGGGTTTTTTTAAATTAGCTTCTCTCCTAACTCCATACCTAGGAGTGAGTAGGAGTTAGCCGTAGCTTCGTGAAAGTCACAAATGGAGACCGTCCATAAGAGCTTCATAAGCTGCTTTCATAATGTGCGTTACCCTCAAGGCAGGAGCCACCTGTCTTTGTAATAGAGATTTTCTTTCTTTCAACTAGAAATATTTCGAGTGACAGGGTTCCCCGAGTCAAGGTAGTGTAGCATAAGACGCAGAGAGCAGCTTTGGGCAGTAGGGCAAAGCCGAGCTTCATTTTTCTCTCTCGCTGTTCCAGGCCTCCTGCGCAACTGTTTTGGGGACTACCACGTGGCCTTCTACTTTGCCGGTGTGCCCCCAATCATCGGAGCTGTAATCCTCTTCTTCGTGCCTCTGATGCATCAGAAGATGTTCAAGAAAGAGCAAAGGGATTCCAGCAAGGACAAAATGTTGGCCCCTGACCCAGACTACAATGGGGAGCTGCTGCCGGGCTCCCCCACCCCTGACGAGCCGATCTAATGCCTCTTCCTTGCCAGCGTGTGCTACTCCTTCACCTTTCCCCTTCACCCCGCCCCGCTCAGCATTTACATTTTTGCCACCAGCACACTTGTCCCCAAACCTGTGCACAGAGCATTTCAGCCACCCGACATCCCCTTGGAGCCAAAGCTCCAGGTGTTCCAAACTCATGAATCAAATTCTCCCCACGAATGCCTTTAAACTTGCCAGGGTCTCTCTCCTCTCAGGATCTAGGAATGCTTGGAATCAAGCCATGGCCTGTGGAACCTGTCCCTATACTTCATAACCCCTGGGGGAAGGGGGGCCGGGACCTCTTGGCTCCAGCTTGTTAGTCACCCAGTATAAACAACTCTGTCCCCCAGGAGTCTGGCGGGAAGACGCAGCTGCTGGTGGGACGTGGGTGCAGGGAAGGGCAAAGAGGTAAAATGACACAAGAAGCCTCGTTTCGCCTCAGAATCTCTGAGGGCTGTGACTTCCCAAGAGCTGTGGGTGCTGTTAGTTGCCGAGTGTCCGCGTAGCCCCCCATCATCCTTTCCTTTTTGCCCTCTACTCCCTCATTTCTCTTCGCTCCCTGTTTCTTTTCACGACTGTCGTAGACACATGGGTGCTAAAAGAAAGGAGGGGCCGAGAGCTTGGGCCAATCAGCTTTTCTTAACCTTGGCCCAGCCCGCCCCTGACACTCATCTCAGGCTGACTCGCATCTCACTTTATGGCGCAAGCTGCTGCAGTCATAGACTGGAAGAGTAGACTGTCACAAAGGAAAGGACCTTCAACACCCCTCACTGACTTTGACAGATTTCCCAGGCCAGTGCATTAACCTCCAGGAGCTCCGAGCTCTCCATCGTCGTATCCACCTGTGAAAATGTGACGCCATCCCTTTCACGTCAGAAGGCAGGGGAGGGCCGATGACAGGGGGATGGCATCTCGCATTATTCATTACAGGTCAATGTTTCCACCTGGGCTAGGCCACGAAAGGGCTTGTTTTAGGGAAAATCTTATTCCCGACTTGGATCCTAAAAAAGTAGAGGCAACAGCTGCACATAGGGTTAGACAGTTTCTTTTAAGAAGGGGAAACGGTCTAAGCCTTTACCAACAAATGTGTCCCTCATGCTGTGCATCCTGGGCCACTCTAAAATAGGTGCCAGTGCTCAAAGAAAGGAGACTCTGGGCGACAGCTAGCACAAGTCACCTCGCTAAGAGCTCAAGCTCTCTCCTTGCTCGGCCTCTGTGTCTCTTTCTCCATAATCTGGGTCTTTGTCTGCTGTGTTCCTACTACCCAGACCTTTCCTCACCTTCTTGCCAGGCATCCTTGGTTGTCACTTGGTTGTCACCCCAAGCCAAGGCCATCCCAGGGCCAGGAGGATGAGGTTGCCTCTGAAGGGCGCCAAAGAAGACAACGGTTCCGTTATAACTAGGCGGTTGGGACACGGTTGGCGTCTGATGGCGGCATTCAAGGCCAAAGTCTGAGCCCCCTCCACTGGTCCCAATCCAGCTCTTATCAAGTTCCCAAAGGAAAACCGCTGATCCTTGGCTCTGTGGATAGGAAGGGGCCTCATCACTAGGATGCTGTCAGCTCAAACAGCAGTGCAGCAGGAGAATCTGGGCCCCGGCAGCCGCGTAAGTCCCAGGAGAGACCACGCAAGGTGCTGGAGCAGCAGAGCCCCCGCTGCCATGCTCCGTGCCGCGCCCTCGCCCCGTCACTGGGCGTCCTCTGTTGCTCTGGAGTGAAGAGCTCTAAAGAATCAGGCTGCCATCCATTCTTCTCCAGATGAAGGAAAGCCATTTACAGGTCTCAGATCTGCTCTATCAGGTGTCACATGGGGGCGGGGGGGAGTGTCACATAAGGCAGGGAAGTTTACTTGTACTGGCACATGCGTGGGCTCGCGGGCTTTTGGAGAGAACGTGGCTTGGCGAAAGCGGCACAGTATTAATATCTAGGGTAGGACGCAGCCTCTTATGGATCCACAGTCAAATCTAGGAAAATGAACAAAATTTGGGAGTTTGAGGCCTGGTACATTTAAATCCTCAAAAAGGTTTGGAACGAAATAAACAGATGTAAAAATCCGGCTTTGGTGTGTATGTTGCCTACTAACCTGAAGCAGGCAGTTTGGCTTCAGACGTGACATCTCGTTTCAAATCAAATTTCTGCCGGGGAATAACTTTCGAGTCTCCCTGATGTCTACTCTGCATTAAATGTACGTGGGGGAAATGGCGGCCTCGGGATACAAAGGGGCTACAGCAAGTTCACACATTTCATCAGTGACAAAGCAGGTTGAGACCTGAGCTCAGGTAAGTGACTTGCGGTTCAGTCCTAAGATGAGGAAACTGACCCCAGAATGGGAGGATGACATGCCAGCTGCATTCAACGACTATGTGGTATGGCCACGTCCAACAGGCTCTCAGCAGGAGCAGCTCGCAGCAAAATGAAACCCGAGCCAACTCTGACTGTCAGCACAGCCCCCGTTCTCATGGTTACCCTCCCTCCCAACTGACACACAGTTCTGGCCTTGGAGACTTGGTGCCACCTACGGCCGTTCCAACGCCAGCGAGCCAAGGCGCAAGGGAAGTGTATCTTCCTATGACCGCACACTGGGCAGAGCAGGGCGCGCAGAGGGGACTGGCTCCCTTTGAAGGGTGGTTTAGCACCCAGCTCTTGGCAGGTAGCTCCTCACTCAGTGCTGACAGCGTCGGGATGGCAGAGTCCCCATCTCCTCCCACGGAGACCAGCTGCTGTGTCCTGCAGCCTGGCTCCAGGCGCTGCCAGCCTAGGTGGGCTGCCCGCCGCGCAGTCCCGCCGCCAGCGGCCCTCGGGCCCTGCTCTGTGTTTGGTCATTCGGCATCGTTAGATTCAAAGCCGTGGCGTCCCGAGCCGTGGATCCCCACGTCATTCTTAGGAGCACACGCTGCCCTCCGGGGCCTTTCATGCGCGGAGACGGCCACTTCCCGGAGGCAGAGCAGGTCCCCCAACGGGTCCCTGTCGTCTCACAGGCAGCACCTGGATAGGGAGGGTGTGGGTTGAACCGGAGCCCAGGAGCAGGTCCGGAAAGTCTCGTGAGCGCAACGTGGACGTCGCAGAGGCGCGAGGAGGGGACCCGA